ATATCTATTTATTCAAGTGACTTATGTAAGAAAACATTACAGAAGAAAATGGATTCGATTCTTTTTAATATAATTATAATAGAGCCTCATAAATATGCTAACAGTTTTATTGAAAGTTATGCTGTGTAGTTTACTTATACGAGTTGCTCTAAATTTTGAGAAATACATTATGCATTTTATAGTAAGGAACAACTTTACAAATGCGCCACATTTTTTCAGCATGACCACATAATTTTAGAGGTTGGATCCCATAGCCATAATTATCTCACAAAATAAAAACAAAATGTTAAAAGTCATTTGCTTCGCTTTAACATTTAACCTCAAATTGTGTATGTGTGTGTGTAGGCAGGCTCAATATATAAGCTCAATATATATGTAATATATATGCAATTTGAAGCTAAATATAAAATATAACTTAAACTTGTATAGTGAGTTCTTTTCTCTTTTCCTTTTTTGCCTTTAAAATTATTATTACAGGCAACATGAAATTGTTATATAGTTACCTGATCTGTTGTTTTAAAAAGTTGATTACTTTTGAAGTATTGGTCATATTCGGCATGCTACATATTCTAGATCTTGATCTACAAAAGTAGATCAAGTATAAGCACTTACAAAAAGCTACAGCATGGAACAGTAAGGTAGTACATCATATAATTTTCTTGCTTATAAAAATATAAACCATTAGCAAAATTTTGTTAATGCAATGAAAATGTAAGCATTAACATTTTGAGCGTGAGCATGTTGTACTTCTCAACATTCTTAGTAGTTATATAGTTAGGTATGTATTTGTAATGCTTGTTCACATGAGCTTCAAAGAACCAGATAACTACTAGCTAAAGTTGAATCGAAGCGCTTATTAACATTCATTTTATGAGTCGGCGATCATTGACAAAGCAGCAGGAGCCTGTGTATATTAGTTTTTAATCTCCGATGGCTGCTTCGTTTATAAAAAGCTAAACTAAGCTGCTGTAAGATATTGGAAGTACTTTCGAGTCATCAAAACAGAAGTACAGGATGGCTTTCATGTTAAGTCAATATTATTGTTCTCTAATTCTTTGAAGTATATGAATTATTAATTATACATATGCCACTCATGACTGATAAAATTATTCAGTTTTCTAGAACCTCACTTCGTTATTTCCTCTGGCTGTCTGGAAGATCACCTAACTTGTACTCGTTATTGTCTTAATAGTCTCCTCTGTTCCGGTGTATTTGTGATCTGTAAGGAGGCTGGCATGGGTTGAGGCCTCCCCTTCCGCTTAGTCATCACGAGTGGAAAAGCACTGTTCTTTATTCGTAATCCCTTGCCCATGCCCATATCATTAATTTGTATTAATGATTTAATGAGTCTGGGTTAGACTCCAACCTTTAAAGACTTGATAAAATGACTGTTTTTAGGTAGCGGCTTCAATTAATTATGCCAATTGTCTCTTTGAATATTCTTTCCCACTTTAGGATCCTAATTGTATGTTTTCTTCTTTCTTAACGCATATTTCCAAAACCAGAAATTATCTGTGTTTACCATGTAACAATAAATATAATCAACCTTATTACATAATTATCATAATTTTCCATAATAAAGCCTTACATTTTTATAGTGTTTCACAATTTACACAGCACTTTCACTTAATCATCTCACGAGCCTCTAAAAACAGACAGGATAGCAATTAACTCCGTTTTAATCATGACGATATAAAGGTTCAGAGAATGGCATCCGGGGCACCGCCAAATGGTGCTGGACCTGGCTTCTGACCCAGATCGTGCAACCACAGACTACTGGTACTTCCTAGGACACCATGCTGGTACTAAAAAGGCCAAAGCCCAGTGACACCCCATCATAAGTAATTCACACTCCATATTGTGTTAACGGGGAGATCCCATACGCACAATAAACATTAAATGAGGCAATTATCCAGATAGTTCAACTAAATGCTCTCCCTTTCGTACCAAAATCCTATTTTAAATTAAATTAGATTCTTAAATAAAATATTCCTCCCTTTAGTTAGTAGCAAATTTTCTCGTTTTACTGCCTCACAGGCACGTGCCAAATGACAATAATATACTGGTATTAACAAGGTAAAATTAACCAATTTTTTTAAGGTTGCTTCAGATATACTTCCCAATGTACGCCAATCTCTCCCTCCTTCCCCCCTACTCACTCTCTCTCTCTCTCTCTCTCTCTCCAATCTCTCCCTCCTTCCCCCCTTCTCTCTCTCTCTCTCTCTCTCTCTCTCTCTCTCTCTCTCACGAACGCACGCACGCACCTGTCTTTTTCAGTTAAACTCTCAGCCAGTACAAGTTAACATAACAATGAAAAAGTGTCGAATGTGACACGGGCTGGCTGTCTTGTTTTTGCTTGAAAAATCACCCCTGGGAATTATACTTTACAATGCCTGCCAAAGCACAGCCTCAAATAACTCCCATTTTTCTTAAGGGCTTATCTTACTCCTCTGAAACAATTTCAGTTACACTCGAAATGTAAATGCTATTACTCCTTTCTTGCTCTTTTGATTATGATGATTACTCAGCTAACGTCGTATTAGTTTTTCTTGCCAAACTTTCATATAGCAATGTATATTCACACTATATATTATCCATAATTTTAGAATAACTCACAGTATATTTAAGATCAAATACACAACAGAAACTAATAGAAAATATTTTCCTTATCTATTGCCATATACATTTCATATGCTTCCAGCCAACCCTGACTAAAAAGAGTTAATGGTAAGTTGAAGCTTTCATTCAATTTTAATTAGGTCAACTGTAAATAACATTTAAATAGTGATTCAGGAATGATTAAGGTAATAAAGCCAATTTGTTAATAGATGTCAAAATTGAAAATTTGAAGATTAATATTAATAACTGGTGCTTAAAAACTTTACAATATTTAAACTGGATGGTTTTTGCCTCTTATACGTACCTTAATTTACTTTGAGCTCCTTATTTGAATGCTAAGTCTATTTGCATGTAAGTTTCTTTGTGCACGTGGGCCATCACACAAATATCACTCATACCTTGTATAACTACACCATTTACATGACAATAATTGCCAAAGCCTAGCCATCACCCAGTGTAATAAATGTAATTGTGCATGAAGTTAAAATAATTTAAAACATTCTCAGAGGACAGAGGGAAAAGGCAGCTATCATTACCTACACATTATTGCTTCCTGCCTGTCTTGTGGTTATCTAACCACAACTGCAGTCAGCCTCTACTGAGCTTTGTATCAAAAGAAAAAGTTTCCAGGGTCCATCTACGTAATTGATGTCCTCATTGACTCCACACAGCTAATCTTTATCTTGTCTCCTTCCTAATTTTGGTCTGTAGCTGACCTTGGAATGTTGCTTTAACATAGACTGATCCATGAATCCACACTGGTAATTTAGGCTTGATCTGTGAAAGTCCACTTTCTTGGTAAAATTTTGTTTTCACATTTGTTATGCTGGCTTAAAATTATGCAGTGATAACAACATTTCAGAATAGGGGCTTAGACATACTTCTTTGATGTGGACAGTAACAAGTGGAATGTAAAATTTTTTTAAGCAGTTGTTCAAAATGTGAATTACTTTGTGCATTTTGAGTTTCTAATGGTGGCCTCATATGGACAAATGGAAAATCTGTACATTTATTGACTTTCTGAGCTATTGTCTAAACTTGAAATTATTACGCCATTGCTTCCCATATTGAAGTGAATCTTTTTCCTTTCTACTTGTAGCTCCAGGCATTTGATAACAGGAAATCACTACCACACGTGCCTATAGGTAGTAGGATAGAGCATAAATTCCTCTCATCATTATTTAATATCGTTAGTTATACTGTATTCACAATCATGAGATGTCCTTTTATAAAGTAATTTAAGCAATGACGTGTTGGTAAAATTTTGACAACTGGTTCTCCCAAAGCAGCCTACCAAAAAATGGCAGCGGAGATGGGAAGAGATGATGGCATCGCTGGTTGTTAAGAGCCGGTTCTAGCTGGCTCTAGCTGGCTCTAGTACACCACTGAATTTTAGTGACTATGTAATAAGTATTTATTTAAATATTTTTGGAGAAGCTCCTGACTTGTTTCAACATTGACTTTTTTTATTCAATTAACTGTTCTAGTCCCTAGTTTTAAAACATAGCCTATCTCTCAACTATTATACTGGATAATCATATACACCGTTAGATTTCTGAAGAAAAAAGGAAGCTAAAATAACAAATTCACTGTCTTACAATTAAGCTTAGCTAGAGTACTTCATATAAATTTTGTCAACATAATGGACATTCTTCCAAGTCATCTCAAGTGTTTTTTAAAAATACCACCGAATCAAGTTCAATACTGTACTGATATAATCTTCCAAACATAAAATGGCAATTGGGCATATGCAAGAAATTCAAATCTTTATTTCAAATATTCAAATCTTTATTCAAATATTTAAATTTAAGCCTTCCCTTTCCCAATCTGTTACTAGCAAATATGAAAAAAAATGAAAAAAACACAAAATATATGTTCTTTAAAAGGAGAGAAAGCAAGATGAATAATGTGATATTCCTTTTCTAAAATACATTCAAACCTCCATTAAGTGATAGGTGCAACAGTCAGCAGTTTTGACATTAGAATCTGAATGTACTAAACTATTTTATCTTCTTGCAGACAACATGGGGATTATTGCAAAATTGTTGTCTCAGCACCTTGCTGACTCAATACCTACATAATTCCTACACCACACTGTGATTTTATTGAAAAGGGTATGTGTATTATGGTTTTTGTTTTAAATTCGAAAAACTTATGTGACTCAAAGTAATGAACAGTACCTTTTACTCTGTTATAAAATTAGGTTTTCATATATATGTATATTAATATTGCAAGAAGCATATCTATCTAATCATGAAATGACGTCTACAACTTTATTCAAATGAAAGGACAGTTGGCAGAAAATCAAATTTATTGAATTATTTATTTTGATGAAGCTGAAGGCCACTTTTACATACTTAATTTCTAAAGGTGGGCTGCAAGCTTACAGAGTCCTACAAAGTTTCTCCTGTGTCATCAAAATATCGATATTCTAGTCCCAGTGTTTGTCTTTCAGAAAGGAGCACTTTTAGAACATAATTTCCTATACAGTGTCCACTCTCTGTAGATTTATTAGGAACCCAACTACAATTCCTTTTAAAAGAAGAAAAGAAAGAACAAAAATCCACTCTTACTTGAATATATGCACATTAAACTAGTATTGTTCTAGGAAGAAAATAAGTAGAAATATTGTTTTAGCCATAAAATTCTTCATTTGAAGAAGCTCATCTCAAACTTAAATACACGATCACTTGAAACTGCTCTCCTCATTTTGGCACATGTAAACCAGTGTAGAATGTGCACATTGCCAGGTTTATTCTCGAGGAACATATTTGCATTGAAATTTAAAGATGGGTTTTGAAATTTACAACATGACATTATTTAAGGTACACATATATATATATAACCAGTCTTTTATTCAATATGTTTACAGCAAAAGAGGCTGGGGGTAAAACAAATTCTCAAAAGTCTTTGGAACATATAGAATTTGTGACCTTGAAAAATAAATCTTGCATCAAAGAACATCTCGACTCTCTCTGAAATCTTCTTTCTAAAATACAAATATTTTATTCCAATGTCTTGTACATTCCGATGGCTCAGACCAAACAACTCCTCTCTCCTTGTAGCTGTGCTCCTCTCTGAGACGTAAACTGCAACAGGGCTCAATTCTCTGCTGTTTTGTTCTCCATTTCCATGCTTCATTTCCTTCATGTAGCTCAGACAGGAGAAAACTCAGCATGTTCTGACGAGCTTAATACTGTGAGGCAGTAAGATGGACCTGAATTTAGTGGAGATTGGAGCTCCAAAATAAATATAACACCATGTGTCAAATAAAAAAAAAAAAAAAGATATTCTCCTGTATAAATCAGAAGAGATAGTGAAAAATCAACGAATAGACAGCAACTTTTTTTCATACCTACACAAGCATCTCAAAACGATGGCACACTTAAAGAATGATTTACCTTTTCTTCCTTTGGAACACTTCATATTTATTTCTAAACAATGGTTTATGTTGCCTTAACCCAAATTTTATCGGCTTAACTTGGAGGATTGGGGAGGATTTTCTAAGAATTTATTTATGGCTAAATAAAATATATTTGCCAACCCATAGCGATAAAATTCTGCTGGATTCTCTAATCTAGCAAGCTAAAAGCATCACTATAAATTCAATTCGTCCCAAGTTTTGATACGCAAGAAGTTCTGGGACTTTTCAATGGCACATCGGGTTCTAGTCTTGTGTCTGGCAAGTACCATGAAGGTGTGTACAGGGCATCCTTGGTTCACTGACGACACAGGGCACTACTCATGAAGGTCAGGTGCCTTTGCAGGTATCTGAGAGTTGCTATCTATTCACAAACCACTGAGCATTTCTTTTTATCAAAAAGCCTGCAAATGCTCAGAGTCTGTGGTCAGTGCAGTCCCTTGGATTAATCTCATGAATATACGCTTCACCAAGGCAGAAACCTAAACAATTAAAAATGGAGAAATATTTACAACCGTTTTCTCTGGCAAGTGGAGTTCCTGTTTTCTGGATGTAGTGTTGGTTTCTGTTTTTCTGTTTTTGCTTTTCCTTTTTCTTCGGTCCATTTCAAATGGGGGGTTCCAGGGCTATGAGTACAAACCCTCCTGGCCAGTCCCGTACATGTCTGCGAGTCGTTTAAAACGAGGCCCCCAGTCACTCAGGTAGTCGTAGTTCTGATCAGAGTTTGAGCTGAGGGAGTCTAAGGAGCTGAGCGACTCCGCTACTGAGCCATTCCCTTCGAACGCATAGGTCTGCAAGGAATCGTAGGGCGGCGCGCAGGGGTCAACGTCGGCCTCCTTCAGTCTTTCCCAAATAAATTCCCGGAAGATGACATTATCCGGGATGCTTTTAAAAGTCGGTCGACTCAAGAACTGAATCTCTGGAGTCACGTCCCTGCGGGTCTTGGTGTCTCTGATGACGTTGAGGTTTCTCAGTGCCGTCATGTCGAAGGCTTCTGTGTCCTCCTCCCCTCCACCCTCGTCATCATAGCGAACGATGTTCTCTCTGATATCTCTCTCTTCATCAAAAATGAGCGGCTCTTTTTTCCGTCGTCTCATGGTGACGATCAGGAGGATCAACACTGAAACAAGGAGACAGCAGAGGGAAAGGTTACAACTCCCTGACTGTCCCTCCTCGTGCTGGAACGAGGCATCTGACGTGACTCAGAACTGCTGCCCTTTAGAGGGAAACGAATTGGCTGGCGACTCACATGGGAATTCACAACAGAAGATGTGCTCAAATTGCTAACATAGCTCTAGAATCAAACACTTCATTTCATCAAAAGAAATCCTTTCCCACGCCTGTTCAGAATGCATGCCTCTCTCCCTTTAATGTAACCTCCACAGGATTTGATAGAGCAAAACGAAGGGCCAGGATAAATATAATGATTTTAAAGCTATGGAACAGAAAGGGGTTTTTCTTGCTTTTCTTTTCTTTTCTTTTTTTTTTTTTTTTGAACTCCTTAATTGCTAAAAAGGCAAAGTGACATTCATAAATGTTTTGGGTATAATTTAGCAAGTGCAATTTCAGAAGGAAATGGATTATAGCATTTGGTCGGGTTCTTTGAAGAAATGCCTCATACGTCTCTGAAAATCAGCTGTTAAGTAAAATCTAGCACGTTGGGCCATATACAAAGATTAAAAGCTTCTCTGTCATAAATTGAGTCCCACGTTTAATATGAAATATTCAACGTGGTCTTTATGCATTATACCGAGAGAGATAATATAGGTTGTAACAATTTCAGCATTAGCTAAAGATAGATTTAAGAAATAAAACACCCATTTAACATAAGGAATTTTTCTTCCTATACCAAAATTAATAATTAGGATAATAAAGCACATGGTTACACTGGAAAGCAAAATATATAAAATAAAATAATCAACTTCACTGGCTATACACACTTAACAAGGACCCCGATCCAGCTACGACTGACTGAATGCTAGCTGAATTGGGACCGTATTAGATTTCATGGGCCCTTGAGTAAGTTAAAATGAAGTAGAAAGGGTATCCTTAAATTTTGGAATTAAAAAATATATAAATAATCTCTGTCTATAAATATCTTTTTAACAATTTTTTATCATATCAGCTATTTTTTAGGGGTAGATCTAAAAGGCCTATGGTGTCATTACTCCCACCATGTTTTTTTAAAAGAAATATTTATATTTAAAATATAAGGTTTTACTTGGGTAATTGAGAATACATTTCGAAATAAAAATGTAAAAACCAAGAAGGACATCAGTGTAGTTCTGAGTCACTAAAAGCGTTGCCTGGCTCGGGGCTGAGAGATGTTCCATCCTCCACCTTGATTGGCTTTGAAAACCCAAATATCTAAGTACTTAAATGATTTTATTTTCGACAGTGAAAAGCATATACTTTAAGTATTTGTCTGCTATCCACTTTTCCATCATCAACAGAGAAGTGATTACTGGAAACATTTTTATCGGAGGTTTTTGGAAATAGTTGTAAAACCAACTGTTTATCGTGACACATTTTTCCCCCTTTTCTCATTTGACCCTGACCTATTTACTGCATGTGAGTTTCCAGCTGGCTTCATCAAAATGGCAGAGATGTAATTCAAAAGCCTGTACATCATTCATTTCTCTCTTAGTTCCCATAAGCGGTCTGATACTCACCTCCCTTCCCTGCCAAGTGGATTCCCTACTCCTGTCCCTTCTTGTCTTCTGAGAATTCGCATTTCCACCACTCCAAAACCTTGTGGTTTTCACGGTTTGTGCCAGAATATTACAACTGCGTAACTACTCTGTTGTAACATCCTAGCATGGACCTTGAAAACTAACATGTAGTTTTAGTGTCAAGAAGGCCCTGGATAAAAGTCTAGCCTTTCCACATATGACCTGTGTGATCTTGGACAAGTAACTTTAATTGAGCCTGGTTATACATGATAATTATAGACAACTTCGGCATTCACAGGCTGGTTACAGAGATAAAGAGACTGGGGAATAATATAAGCAGAGTTAGCAGAATGCCAGGCACTCGGTGGGCAACCGAAAAGTTTTCATGGTTATAACATTAATTCAGAATTCCATGAACACAGCAAGTGAAGACACTGTTTCTCCTTTGACCAAAATAAAAAAAACAAGGTTAGGTAACAAGCAAAGTAGAAGGTGTATAAATATATGGAAAGCCTGTGCACCAAAGATTATATGGGCGAGAGAAAAGGCAGGAAGGCAAGACATGAAGGTCTACACACGGGACGTATCGTTGGACCCTTACAGCAATTCTCAGGGGATTTTCCTATTTGATGGTTGTCTTAGACACGTGAAATAACCTGTCTACAGTAAGTGTAAGAAAACGCAATATTATGGTGTGCCCACCCCTGTTTGCCTCAAAGCCTTTGCACTTTCTATAATACTGTGAGTTTAGTACCTCCGGAGAAGGTAATAGGAAAACAAGCCGAGAACTCAAATGGCAATTTCGTGTTCAGAATAAGATGCATCAGTAAGTTTTAAGGTAAATGAATAAATAATTTTAGATTGAGATATAACTTTAGTTTCTGAAACTTTTTACATAGTTCCTCTAAAATTAAAGAAATTGCAACAAAAGGAAAACGGGACCAAAAAAGATTTTATTGAGAAATCGAACAGAATAAGATGGAGAATGGAAAGGTCTCAGGGAATCATAATGAGTGGACAGATAGAGGCAGATGACGCTGAGAAATCTGTTGCACACACTGGAAAGCAAAGCTCAGAGGGAACACATGTCCGTTTGCGTGCCAAAAGATGTAGGAAATAAATGGGCATGAATGTGAAAAAAAAACGAAGAGGATAAAAATTATATAATAATTAGACGCTCTTTTAATTGAAATCAAAGTCGAAGTAGGCAAAACATTTCAAAGTTCTCTATTCTCTTTCCTTTGTATAATTACAACAAACCTTTTTATACACACACACACACACACACACAGGTGTTTGACCCTTGAACAAGATGGGTTTGAACTGTATGGGTCCACTTATAAGTAGATTTTTAATTTTAACTTTTTACAGTTTTCACACAATATTATATTACTTTCAGGTGTACAAGGTAGTGATTAGATATTTATGTAATTAACAAAGCGATCACCCTGATAAGTCTAATACTCATCTGACACCATTTATAGTTATTACAATATTATTGACTGTATACCCTGTGCTATACTTTACATCCCCATGACTTTTCATAACTGGCAATTTGTATTTCTTAATCCCTTCACCTTGTTCACCCATCCCTGCAAACCCCTCCCATTAGGCAATCATCAATTTGTTCTCTGTATCTATGAGTTTGTTTCCGTTTTTGTTAGTTTATTTTGCTTTTTAGATTCCATATATAAAAGAGGCAATATTTGTCTTTCTGTGTTTCACTTATTTCACTTAGCATAATACCCTCTAGGGCCATCCACATTTTCACAAATGGCAAAATTTCATTTTTTTATGGCTGAGTAATATTCCATTGTATATATGTACCACCGCTTCATCCATTTGTCTATCGATGAACACTTAGGTTGCTTCCATATCTTGGGTATTGTAAATAATGTTAAATGAACATAGGGGCACATGTATCTTTTCACATTATTGTTTTGGAATTCTTTGATAAGTACTCAGAAGTGGAATTGCTGGGTTATATGGTAGTTCTAATCTTAGTTATTTGAGGAACTTCTATACTGTTTTCCGGAGTGGCTGTATCAATTTATAATCCTGCCAACAGTGTAAGAGGGTCATTTTTCTCCATATCTGCGCCAACACTTGTTTCTTGATTTATTGATGATAGCCATTCTGACAGTTGTGCAGTCACATTTCATTGTGGTTTTAATTTGCATTTCCTTGATGATTAGTGATGTTGAGCATCTTTTCATATGCCTATTGGCCATCTATATGTCCTCGTTGGAGATATGTCTATTCAGGTCCTCTGCACATTTTTTAATCACTTTTTTTTTTTATGTTAAGTTGTCCGAGTTCCTTAAATACTTTGGATATTAACCCCTTATTGGATATATCACTGGTGAAAATCTTCTCCCATTCAGTAGTTGTCTTTTCACTTTGTTGATGGTTTCCTTGGCTGCACAAAAACTTTTTACTTCGATGTAGTTCCATTTATTGTTTGTTTGTTTCCCTTGCCTGGAAGACTTATCCAAAAAATATTGCTAAGAGCATTGTCAAAGAGTTTACTGCCTCTATTTTCTTCTAGGAGTTTATGGTTTCGGGTCTTACCTTTAAATCTTTAACCCATTTTTAGTTTATTCTTGTATATGGTGTAAAAAAATGATCCCGTTTCATACATTTGCATGTATCTGTCCAGCTTTCTCAACACAATTTATTGAAGATACGGTCTTTACCCTATTGCATATTGCCTCCTTTGTCATAGAGTGATTGACAATATAGGCATGGGTTTATTTCTGAGTTCTCTATTCTGTTCTACTGATCTATGTGTCTGTTTTTATGCCAGCATTATGTTGTTTTGATTACTATGGCCTCGTAGTATAATTTGATATTAGGTAGTGTGATACATCCAACTTTGTTCTTTCTCAATATTGCTCTGGTTATTTGGGGTCTTCTGTGGTTCCATGTAAATTTTAGGATTATTTGTTCTAGTTCCATGGGAAATGACATTGGTATTTTGATAGTGATTGCACTGAATCCATAGATCGCTTTGGATAGTACGGCCATTTTAACAATTTAATGTCTTCCTATCCATGAGCATGATATATCCTTTAATTTGTATATATCTTCTTCAGTTTCTTTTTTCTATGTCTTATAATTTTCTGAGAACAGATTTTTTACTTCCTTGCTTAAATTTATCCCTAGGTATTTTATTCTTTTTGATGAAACCGTAGAAGTCTATCAATTTTATCTTTTCAAAGAACCATCTCTCAATTTCAGTTGATAATTTTGTATTTTTTTAGGCTTAATTTTGTTTCTACTCCATTCATTATTTCCTTCTACTCACTTTGGGCTTTGGTTATTCTTTTTATATTCCCTTTAGATGAAAGTTTAGATCATTTAGTTTGGTTTTTTTTGTTTATTGAGGTAGACCTGTATCACTATAAATTTCCTTCTTAGAATTGCTTTGGCTGTGTTTTACAGATCT